ATGAGGTCTGTCTTATCAGGTAAATTACTGTACACAGTGTATTCATTAATTTTCATTTTCATGTAGTGGCTCTATGCCTTCATAAAGGACGTACTTTTCCTTTGTTTAAGGGTATTTGGGCAGTTTATTCTCTGTTATATTCTGTACAAGTAAATACTGTACAAGTACAGTACAGTATTTTCTGAGGAAATACTCGTACTTATTTTTTTTAACCCCATTCCCGATAACTCGGCATTTTCACAAACTCGGCCACCCTTCGGTCCACATTAGGTCGAGTTTTCGAGGTTCTACTGTATTGAAACTGAGTGGAAATTAGTAAACTAATTAAGAGCTCTTTATAATTTCTTTAAAGATGTACAACATGTAGAACATTACATATCATATTGAAAATCTAAAGCTTTAGCCATAAAATTTGGTTATATAATGGTTTGAAAATGTAGATGATGTCAAAAGTACTGTCAACATCTGAAAATGTAAATAATTACAAAATTATCAAAATTATACAAAAATGTAACAGTTTTAATATTTCAATTTTTATTACAAATTATTTTTTTTACGTTTGTTATACAGTACATCACCTCATTATACTGTCTGTATACAGTACACGTATATAAAACTAGCATTCAATAGTTTAGAATCTGAAGTGAAATCATTTCTCAAAGAATTTCAGTTGTTACAAGTTGGTATCTTTTATTCATACTTTTTTGTTTAATGTTGAAGAATATTATGGAGTGATTTATAAAACCTGAAGTATTTAGATCTGTTTACTCTATGATTAAAGCTGAAGATAAATTTTTTTTGTAAAATTAGCAAGAAAATTTATTTGATATTCACTGAATGCAAATGCAAACATTTTTTGTTCAAATGTTATTGCTGACTCTAAAAAAAAAAATAGAATATTTTCAGCACATGTATAATTTTAAATTAAATTTAAGAAAGTTATTTTTCAAATATAATTTTTATTTTTCAAGATAGCTTACAATTGGAATCGTTAGAAAGACAGAGAATATTCTAAAATACTAGAAAAGAAAATTAACACTTAAATCTGTTAGTAATAATTGCAAAACGTGTAATTAATAATAATGTAAAAAAAAATTATAGTTTCATTCATAGGATTCTCTCTGTTATGTAAAATACCATAATCGGATTTTAATATATTTATAAAAAAAACTTCAAATTTATTATTCATAAAAAGTTAGTTACTTCTAAAAAGTAATATAATTTCTTAGGAAATGAATTCCCAGCTGTTGTGGAATTTGCACCATTTCAGAAGATTCCAAAAAGAAAAAATAAAAAGAGAGATGCAAAATGTGGAACAATTGATCAAGGTTAGTATCAAAAATTTTTGATTATCTATTTTTCACATAATTTATGAAGAAAAAATATTTTCATTATTGGGCTGAAATTGTAGACATAAATTCTCACTGTCGTCTGGTTGCCCATCTGTCTGTCTTACCTTTATCTCAAGAATGGAGTTAGATAGATGTAAGCTGAGACCAGATATGGAAATTAGGGGTAGGAGGCCCGATTAACTGTACACAAACTTCTGGTGAAAACTGGAAGCCATGTTATTTTTTATATTCATTAATAAAAACAATTATTCATTAAAAATGTTAAGAATCACTGAGAATTATGTTTTATATATTTTTTTCTATTTTATAATGCAAGGTGGATGAAATTATATGTGATGCATTAAAGATTAATTTTATTTCACTTAATTATTTCTCAAAGTAGTAATAAATATCTCTCTCATATTTGTAGAATATATTAAATTAAAATACCATATTTATTTTAATAAACAGCATTTTGTTTATAACTTTTTTTAGCTTTTAACTGTACTGTTTTATAAGAGGATACTAATATACAATACTGTTTACTGTTAGAGGACACTATTATTTCTATTCTTTGGGAATTAGTTGTAATTATTATTTGGATCTATCTATTAAATTATTTAATTAATGGAATAAATTTTTAAACCACATTTGACATGTTTGAAGTTTATGAGAATCTTCCCCTACATATTACAATTGTCTTTTTTACTGTGCACAGTGTTACGTCCATTCCAAAACTCATAAAGCATACGTCTGATACCCTTTTTATCTGAAGACCTTTCAAGTTCATTTTATTCAACAAAAATGTGAAGTAAAAAATTTAAAATACCATTATAAACAAAGAAATTTAAATTAACAATAATATGCTAAATTTCACAACTGTTATAATTAAATCATATAACATATTCAGTAATGACAGCTGTTAAAAATATTCAATCCAATGTGACTTTTTACTTACTAAACCATGGCATCAGGAAGTGTGTGTAGGCAACAAAGTCTAAGAGGAAGTTTGTAATATGGACAATTGAGATGAAACAGGAGGGAGGTTCTGGTGAAGCATAAAATTAGTACACATATGGCAGATCTGATGGCTACGTTTAAGATGCAGAAGTTGTTGATATGTGAACAGTTAATGCCATTTTTATTTTATTATACTGCATTTATGTATTTTATTTATTGTTTTAGTGTTTTAATTTATTATCAGGGCATTTAATTGTGCTATTTTTATCTTAAATTCTGAGTATTTGCAGTTTTCAGTTTATTGAAATAGATATTGATTAGGGTCTGGGAATGGATTAATTCACTTTCCATTATTTCTAATAGAAAAAATTGATTCAGACATTGAATGATTTGGAGTTCAAACATCCTCCTGGAATGAATTAAATTTGAAGTACAGGGCACCACCGTATATGCTGGATGTTTTAAAAGATTTTTTTAAAAAAATAATAAAATTTAAATACTAATAAAAATGCACAAATGACTACAAAAACTAATGACAATGCTTTTCTGACTTAAACACTACATGTAGGGATTCATGTCAACTCTTCTTTCCTTTTATTTGAAGTGGGAGCTAATCTCATGACTGTTGCCACTACAAAATTGATTTATTTAATAACTATTTATAATATTAAACAGGTTTTGCTTAAACTCTTTAATGATAAAATAAATTTCAGATTAAATTTTGAAAATTTCAGATCCTGATTACATAAAATTTCTTGAGACTGTACAGAATCCAGAACAAGTTATACTTCCATCTGCAGAAAATTATCTTGAAATGATAGAATCACGAGAAAGAGAATTAAAAGGTAACAGCTTGTCATTATATATTATTATTATTTAATTATTACAAGTTTATTATTTTATTTAATTAATGATATTTTTAAAAATATTTTATATTTGAATAGCAAACAATGGTATACCTAAAATTACAACTCCACTTATTGAATATCTAAAACAAAGAAAGCTGGAACAACAGGTAGAAATATGTTTATCTAGATTTATATACTTTAAATTTAATCATTTCATATATAATCAATGTAAAAATTCTGATAATTAATAGAAAATAAGGGAAGAAAAAAGAGAAGAACGTAAAAGAAGAGAAATGGAAAAGAGAAGATTAAGAGAAGAAGAAAGGAGAAGAAGAAAAGCAGAAAAAGATAAAGAAAAAGACAAATGCAAGGAGAAAAAAGAGGGCTCTTTAGAAAAAGAAACTTTTAAAGAACCTGAAAAATCTTCAAAAGTAGATGAAACAAAAGATTCTGAAACTGTAATTGTGAAGGTGGTGATTTAATTTTTGTTAATATTTAAATTAGTTGAAGCAATTTTGATTCAATTTGAGGTACAAATTTTATTTCCTGAGATTATAAAATTGCTTAAAAAATTTTTAAATTTCAAAAAAGAAATTTAAATAATTTGATGTGAATGATTAAATTTTATTNATAACATATTCAGTAATGACAGCTGTTAAAAATATTCAATCCAATGTGACTTTTTACTTACTAAACCATGGCATCAGGAAGTGTGTGTAGGCAACAAAGTCTAAGAGGAAGTTTGTAATATGGACAATTGAGATGAAACAGGAGGGAGGTTCTGGTGAAGCATAAAATTAGTACACATATGGCAGATCTGATGGCTACGTTTAAGATGCAGAAGTTGTTGATATGTGAACAGTTAATGCCATTTTTATTTTATTATACTGCATTTATGTATTTTATTTATTGTTTTAGTGTTTTAATTTATTATCAGGGCATTTAATTGTGCTATTTTTATCTTAAATTCTGAGTATTTGCAGTTTTCAGTTATTGAAATAGATATTGATTAGGGTCTGGGAATGGATTAATTCACTTTCCATTATTTCTAATAGAAAAAATTGATTCAGACATTGAATGATTTGGAGTTCAAACATCCTCCTGGAATGAATTAAATTTGAAGTACAGGGCACCACCGTATATGCTGGATGTTTTAAAAGATTTTTTAAAAAAAATAATAAAATTTAAATACTAATAAAAATGCACAAATGACTACAAAAACTAATGACAATGCTTTTCTGACTTAAACACTACATGTAGGGATTCATGTCAACTCTTCTTTCCTTTTATTTGAAGTGGGAGCTAATCTCATNACATGAGCCAATCGCAGCCCGATAGGTGGGAACTTTACGGACTAAGGCTGATTGAAAGGTTTTCTTCCATAAAATTAATCGATTCTAGACTAATTCGACTCAACATTTCCAAAACACGTATAATTTTTTGGGAATAATTCGTATAAACTAAGCTATAAACAAAAAATTGTAGGATTACTTATTGAGTGTGCACTGTTTGACGTCGCCACTGCTTAAGCTTGTTTTTGTTGCGGAGCAGCGCACCAAACGGTGGCCACGATTTCTGATAAGTTATTTTTCTGCGAAAAATTCGTTGAACTTTGGAGACATCATTAATATAAATAATTTTTATGGCTGTTGAATAAGAAATGTTTCTTTCACAAAAAATGTATAAAATTACAGTGCTGTATTAGACTTACGGTACCTAATTTACATATTGTACAGACGATAGTAAACTCAACTTTCTCACCTAAACTCCATAGCGTGGCGCTGGATGGCGGAAAGTATATATATAATTATAATAAAGTTAAAATAAATTAAGTTAATACTGTACAGACGATAGTAAACTCAACTTACCCATTTCAACTCTCTGTAGCGTGTAAGTAGTTTGGCTGTTTGTCTACTATTGGTCCAGATTCGACCAATCCTGTCGTGACACGAGTCGGCGATGACGTTTTACCGCGTTTTACGCGTCCCTTTTAGCATCTTTATATGAATACTGTCACAATTTTTTCGCCGCGTTATAGGAATCTGCATTATAGGAACCCACATTATAGGGGGGTCTACTGTATAGGTGTGACATCTAGAATGCTTGCTACATGTAATATACATTGTTCTAATATACATGTAATATCTTGCAAACAAAACTTACAATGGAATTGGCTAAATCTGTATTAGATAATGCATTTGATCTTGATTGGGTGAATATTTGGTTATTGCATACTTATTCTGACCTTACTTTAGTTTACTTATGGGAAATGTGAGAAGCCAAGGACGTAGATCTTAGTCCATGCTGCTTACAGGCACACGATCGTGAGATCGGCTCATTAACTTTTTATAGGAGGGCGGTAAATTATGTTTAAGAACGATCTAGAGGATTAATTCTAGATCTACGTCAGGTCCCGACACCAGTTAATCAAATTTAGATACGCGGATTAACACGCGTGATTCAGACAAAGATGAGACGTTTCCTTAACAAATAACGATTAAAGATTTAATAAAATAAAAGTAAATAAAATTACAAAGGGAATTATTCAAAAGTAAAATCAAGTGAATGAGATATTGAGATTAATTAAAATATACATTTCGAGAGAGAGAGCTCACAAATTCATTTATAATCACACTACCTCAAAGTTTACTTTGCTTTATTTTCTTCTGTATTTTGTGATTATTCTTCATTTCATGGGGAGGCCTTGATTTGGCACAAGATAATATGTTTTCTTCCTTTCTTTTATATTAACTCATTAGTGTACTTGACTGGAGACGACTAAGGGCGTTGGCCTTAGGGAGACAATATGGACTACATCGGTCTTCTCTGAGATCTTACGGCGTACTCCCCGAATCATGCCGATCTTTGACTATATCTCATGATTTGTGACCAATCAGCATATTTGGATTCTCTCACGTAAACGGATGAAATGGGGAATTATTGAGGGGTCGACAATTCCCATGGTTGTGAGATTTGTGTTAGATAAGTGGAAAAACAAAGGATGCTTTAACTTCCATTAAAGGAAGTGGCTTTTTTATCAGTTTTCCCACGTTAGAAAACCGTTAATTTCACACCAAAATGAAAGAATATTTTATTTCATAATGGATTTATTTTTTACCTATGTCTAACATTTAAAAAAAATTATTTCTTAATTATCTGTAAATTCTTTAATAATAAAACTAATATTTTCATAACAACAATAATTAATTACTGTGTAAAATAATAATTTCACTTTTCAATCAGTTTTTTAAATTTAAATTTTACATATTTATTGAAGCAGGTTTTAAGAAATCCAGAACGGGAAAGAGAGAGAGATAAAGATATCCAAGGATATGGACATCTTTCACAAAAGCATAAAGATACTTCTACATCTTCAATTATGACAAAACCTTCCAGAGACAGAGATAGAGGAAGGAAAGAATGGGAAAGACAACGAGAAAGAGAGCGAGAAAGACAAAGACTTAGAGAAAGAGAAAGGCCACGTACTTCAAGTATTCGTGACAAATTGAGAAAAGATAAGGATGATTACAGGTTTGTTCAATAAACTTAATAATTAGATCGAATTTAATTTGCAGTAATTAATAATTTAACAAAAATTTCAAATGTGTGTGCATGTGATTATATTTCAGCCTTCCTCCAAAAAATGCTGCCATCTCTTCCTTGAGCTAGGGCTTATTAATTACCCATCCTTGCTGAGTTAAAGAACATTCTCATAACAGTATTGAAAGTTGGATATTCTATCATTTTCTTAACACTAGTGTCCTACATTCTCTATTTCTGGTTTCTATGATGAGTGTCATGCCATTACTAAAATTTGCTAAGCATTAAGTTTGTTTTATAGATAGTATTTCTTTACAATTATCTTCATTACTTTAGGCATTTGGGTACATTTTACACATCTGGCCTCAACCATTCTTATGCAGGTTAATTTCTAATGATAGGGATCAGATATCTATGTTATAGAATCTGGTGTTTATTAAGTTTCCCTACATAATTAGGCTACAGTTTCAACTCTTATACAGCAGACCCCCTATAATGCGGTAGATACGTTTTGCTTTATATGAATTTTGTGTTGTAGGAATCCTTAAATACATGAGCCAATCACAGCCTGGCACATGTGCAGTTTACAGACTATGGCTGTTTGAAAGATTTTCTTCCATAAAATTAATCGATTCTAGACTAATTCGACTCAACATTTCCAAAACACGTATAATTTTTTGGGAATAATCCGTATAAACTAAGCTATAAACAAAAAATTGTAGGATTACTTATCGAGTGTGCACTGTTTGACGTCGCCACTGCTTAAGCTTGTTTTTGTTGCGGAGCAGCGCACCAAACGGTGGCCACGATTTCTGATAAGTTATTTTTCTGCGAAAAATTCGTTGAACTTTGGAGACATCATTAATATAAATAATTTTTATGGCTGTTGAATAAGAAATGTTTCTTTCACAAAAAATGTATAAAATTACAGTGCTGTATTAGACTTACGGTACCTAATTTACATATTGTACAGACGATAGTAAACTCAACTTTCTCACCTAAACTCCATAGCGTGGCGCTGGATGGCGGAAAGTATATATATAATTATAATAAAGTTAAAATAAATTAAGTTAATACTGTACAGACGATAGTAAACTCAACTTACCCATTTCANAGTCGATTTGTAAAAACCTAAAGCTAAAATAAAAGTTTTGAATACTAAAAAAAAGGTGAACGGCTTGCTCGGTGCCCAATAATGAACAATAATTTGAAATAATTCAATTTTGTGTCAGGTTGGCCTCCACTAGGCCCCCCCATAACAAAACTCTGGCTACGCCCATGTCTATACAGCTAACCTGCTCTAAATGTACCAGAGCATTGGGCTTCTCTGGTTAAAATATTAAAGTAAACACTCCCTTCTCTTCACATTTTATTTTTTAGTTTACTTTTTTATTGTAGACATTATCGCCTCCATCTTTTTCAACCTAACTGTAAATGTTTAATTTTGAATCTGTAGTCTGTTTCATTTCCTGATGACAATAACTTGTTGTACAAAATAAGTATAAGCACTTTTGATAAATGCTTTGTGTTTTATTTATTAAATAACACCACAAGCTAGTTAGTTTTAAGTTTTATTTAATCTTGTTTATGAACTTTGTCAACAAGAGTCTGATTGCTAAGGTCACAAGCTACAACTTTACATTTAGCAAGACTCATAAGAACTTCTTTTAAACAGTACAGTTTAACCAAAGCACAGAATAAAATTAAATCCAGAGATGGAAAAAATTAAGGGAATTTCTTAATTACTATAATTTATTTACAGTTTCTTTCACCCCTTTACTGAGATGAAGAGGGTGGTTAAGAGTATACAAGCATCAGAAATAGAAATAATAAAGATTTATTTAATAGTAAACTTTGCCTCAGACATCCTGCTGTTCTACCTTTGGTTGGTAACTTTGTTGGACGTGGAAATTCTATTTAAAAAACAGTTTTACATTATTGTATTGTAAGTGACTATTTATTGATTGAGTAGAGAAGTAGTCTTTTCAAAGAGGATCAAATTACATTCATCATTTGGGCCAAAAAAAATCAGTTCTGGAGAAACTGGTACATGGTTTTCTGAAAGTGGTAATCTTTGGAAGTTTGACTATATAAATTAAGAATTATTGACTTGCTATTTTATTAATAGTTATAGCACTTTACTAATTAAAACAAAGATTCAGAGAAATTCACAAGGAGATAACAATGTTGAAAGATGATATTCTAAATTGCCAGTCACAGTTACACTCATTATTAGTGGGTTGGCCCTCAATTGGACACTCAGCATGGATGAGGAATGGGGAACTCATATTACTAATAATAAATTACTGGAGTTTGAATCAGAATCAAATTCAGATTCCATGACAACAGCAGATGCTATGTGATACATACATACATACAAGAAAAACTTTGGCCATACATGAGGTGTTTAGTCAGCAGACAAGAGGGAAAGGGAAAGGGGGAAGAAGGGGGAGAGGAGATATAGTAGAGAAAGGTAGGATTCCTCTGAACAGTGTAGGTATGGCTACAGTACCCTCTATGTTTGATGTTGGCATGCAGTTTTTAGGCTGCAAGGCCGTAGTCTCCCGAAGGGTGTAAAAGAAAACCTGAGTGTAGCAAACACCAATAATTGAGTGATGCCATGAATAGCTAAGTGTAGAAGTTACTGCCAAGTGGCTGTTAATAGGAAGGCTTATATCAACTTAATACAAATAAAACTGAACACGATCGCAAAACTTAATACTACTTAACAGCTAGACAGACAGTGTGAAAACCAAATGAACACAATGACAAACTAGACAAGACAAATTGATCAATAGAGACAAACAAGCAAGACCCCAAAATTATTGTCATCATTTTTAAATGTTAACTTACTCACTAACTAAACTAACCTACCATAACCAAGGACAAACCTAATCAGATGACTAATGTTAACAAACCCTAATCTAATTTAACCTATCATTTAACTGGAAACCAAGCTAAGAGTCCCTAATCTAACTTACAACTAGGACTAACCGAATTTAGACGGAAAAAGATGCTATGTGATAGCAAGACATCCTAACTATTAGTGCATTGTAAATTTTAAATATTCTGATAACTGTAACGTTGTGCTCTGTTTGCCAATAAAAATTTATATTCACTTCATTATCATTTGAATTAATTATTATCACTATATAATTATATGAACATTGTAATTTATAACTGAAATGCATCATTACTTTATATTTTAAAACTTTTAACACTTAGCTTCTGTACTAATAAGAAATTTGGTGGAAAAAATATTTTACACAATGTGACAACAATGTTGATGATGTATTTGTGAAGTTAAAATGCTAAATGAAATTTTTTATAAAAATTTAATTCTCTCATTTAAATTGTTTAGATAGATTATTTCTAAAATTAGCTTTTCTTTTTTTCATATTTATTTTAGAAGTTGCACCAGTGAATCCGGACACAAGTCAGAAAATATACAAGAAAAAAATAATTTAAGTCATATTGGTTTGTCAGATCACGGAAAATTTAGTAATAGAGACAGAATGGAAAGAATGAGTGAAAGACGATCTAGTTTTGACGAAGATAGATATAATGTATCTGAATGTAATGAAAAGAAAAAGAGTTATACAAACTCTAGAGATTTTGATGTAGGTACTGTTGGCGATGATGATTTTAATGATAGCAAAGACACAAGAAGATCCACAGACGATTCAAAGGATCCACGAGTAGAGAGACGTATCAGAAATAAGGTAATATAATATAATATCAATATTTAATGCAGTCAGTCTAAATTTAATTAGGTCATCAATTGACAACATTATTTTTTAATGCGAATTTACAGGATCGTCCGTCTCTCGAAATCTACCGTCCCGGGATGAGACGTTTAAACACCCAGAGGAATACATCACAGAAGGAAGTATCAACATCTGCAAGTAATTCTTCCACTCCCAGCCCCAGTCCCACTCCGAGTAGTCAGAGTATTATATCGTCTACAAAAAAAGTTAGCAGCGAATGGAGCAGAACTCGTTCACAACCATCAGAGAATAAAGTAACTGCATCTGGAATACAAGACATAAATAAAAAGAAAGAAAAGGGAAAAGAAGTTAATTCAAATGTGGCAGAACTGGATAAGACTGACGAAGAAACATGAATTTCTGCAAAAGTGAATTTTGAAATTTTAAATTATATATCTTGTTTAACATGCTGTAAATATTTGGGATATTGTATTACTGCCCGTGTTAAACAGACATCCCCCGAAAAACTTTTGATTGCCAAATTTCAATTCTTATCCGATACCCAAAAACAGGTATTTCATGTCGAATGTGAAATTACAAAACCATTGATTTTCTAAATGTTTTTTTTAAAATAAATGAATGAAAATAAGTTATTTATTGAATTGCAAAATAAATGTCAGATTCAAAATATTTTAAAACATCACATTTATTTCTATACTTGACATATTTTTTTAATTAGGTGATTTTGATTCCAAATGTGTCAAAAATAAAATACAGTAATAATAATTTAGAACACAAACTGTAAATAGCTTCTTATAAATTAATTAACGAGCAATTATTTACTGTGACGTCGTCACAATGCCGGGCTTCAATTTAATCATATTTTTACTTTGTTTAATATAAAATATATGCTTTCCACCTCAAATTAGTAGTGGATTGAACCTGTACATCTAAATTTTCCTCTAACAACGGATTCGTGCCGGTCATCTATCTAACACCGTTCAGAGGAAAATTTTTGAATTGAAATAACATGACTTCCAGTTTGCATGGGAAGTTCTTATATAGTTAATCGGGGCCTTTGCTCTCAATCTTTTCATATCTGGTCTCGTCTTTCATCTATCCAACTCCATTCTCGAGATTAAGGAAAGAAAGACTGACAGATGAACGACAGTGGAAACTTATAGGTATACATTTTTATAGGAAATATATAGGTATACATTTATCTTTTCTTCTTTTATATTGATATATAACAGCGGGGAATGTAACAATGAATAAAGTTAAATCTAACGAAAGTTCATCACTAAATTATACGGAAGCAATGTTTGGTTCCGTATAATTTATTGATGAAACAGATAGAAATGGATGTTCGATTGAAGGCAGACGAGTCCGAATTTAGAAAAATGAAAGCAGATGTCGAAAGGAACTAGAGAAATATGGGAATAACAAATTGTGCCATTGAGTTATGTACCCTTAAAATGATTTTACGAAGATTTCCTGGCAAATATTTGAACATAAATTATTTTAAAAGATCTTATGACAACTGGTGAATTTTGATACAGTTTAGGAGCGATAATTTACGAAATCGCGAAAAAAATCACCAAATATGGACTTTGAAGAGTTGCTAAATTTTCTCTAGTTTGGATAATATTAATTTTATTCGTTTTAAGCGTCAAATAAATTGGAAAAATGCAACGTTTTCATAAAATGCAATTGTTTTAACGCGGTTTTATGGGAATACGTACTACTAATAAAATGGCATTTTATGAAAAACGAAAACATTTTGACGTGACTTATCTTTTTAGTTTATGACTTTATGTTATGAAATAAGTATAGTTATATGCTGCTTATCTGCGCGATTTGCTAGTTATGGCTCCGAGCTGAAACGCTATGACAGAATAAAGAACAAACAACTGTAGGCTTCTGAATCTTAGCTGTAGGCTGTTATAATAAGNGGTAAATGTTCAGTGTGACGACCACCAACTTCGTTACATAATGTGCAACGACGAACCGTAAGATGCCACGCTCCCCTCTGATGGTATTAAATGCTGTAAAGATGCGCTCCGTAAGCTTATGAACTGTTCCTACAGGTGTTGCGTACACAAGGGACTCACGTTGACTAGCTGTGTGTTTACATTACAATACCAGTGGATGCAAGGGGTGACCTGAAGAACGAGCACAGAGCACACAACGTCCTGTACACAGGCTCAGTTAGACCACTGTAGTTGTGTGTTTACAGTCTTTCATCCGCAGCAATAACATGACGTCAATGGATGGAAGGGTAGCTACCAAAGTGAAGAGCGGTCAAGCACTTCCTACCTGTAGACACTTTAGTTCAAATTTCCGATTATAGGTTCCTTACACCAAAACGTTCAAAATTTTATCCTTTACAATCCCCCAAATTTTTAAAACGTCATTCTGATACACCCNCACATTAAAGGAAAAATACACTAAAAACAACCAAAAATGCATTTATTTGTTCCGTAAGGTAAGGGACATGCCATCTGCAGAGGCTATTTACTGCTGTCAGTAATGTTATTCAATGTTTGTCCCGTTCTTCAGGTATAAAATTTGAATGCGATGAACAGTATGTTCTACAACTGATCGTAAATGTTTTCCAGGGATGTTTTTAACTTACAATGTAATACAATTCTTTGTCTGCCAGTGTTGCAACGTTTCCGTGATAAACCGTATGCCAAACCATATATGCCAAAGCGTCCCAGAGCTGAAATTTTTGAGCATTTTTAAAAATCCTTTTCCGCATCCTTTGCTTCGTCGGTATACAAATTTTGGCGTCAATTCACTTATTGGTTACAGCTACAGACTGCTCTGAATATAAAAACTTTAATAATGGCCCCTCTGTATATAAAAAATTTAGAATGATGTTTACCTTCATCAACCAATAATAAAGAATACAAGTCATTACGGCATGAAATAAATTTTCAAACAGATAAATTAATCCAAATATAATCCAATTTGTCAGTAAAATTTTTGTATCTCGTAGTGTTCCTCTTTGAATCGCATTCATTCTGCATTTAAATATTCTGTTACGTGAGAAGCTACGAAATTCGAGAAAGTAAATACTCTACAATTAAAACTTACGAAGCGTAAATGAGATAGACGATCGATGTGAAAGTGCAGACAAATTCAACTGCGGTGTATACAGCTAGTATAATCATTAAAACTAAATAATAATAAAAAGAATAATCGGTTATTAATTCGAAATTAACAAAATTTACGATAAAGAAAGGTACATTTGACGATGAAAAATCTGTTGCAGCCACATTTCTGCTCTAATTTGCCGAGAATTCTTGTGTACTTGTTGTTGGAATGCAATTTCATGGATATTCGGTTGAGCATTTCTACTAAAACTTCCATATTTTTCTATTAAACTTACATATGGCTAGTGCCAACCAAACTTTCTTTATAATCTGATAAATTAATTTAATTCAACGTTAATTTTAAAAGTTTAAAATTTAAAAGAAATTGAAATCTAAAAATATATACATGTTTCAGTTTACTATTCTATCGTAAGTTATTCCATATTGATTTTTTATAAGCCAAAAATAATAACTTACTTGCTTACCGAAGTTTACTTATAATCAAAATTCTCCGAATAATATCAAAAGAGAAAGCGAAAATGTAGAATATTATTGAATATTTCTATTTAAAGATGACGACGACAATAGAAAAATCGAACAATATATTCGAACAATTTGTTACTTTCGAACGTTCGATGTTCCTTACAAATACTTCATGAGTTATGTCAAAACGTTAATTGATCTGAAATATTTTACTTAAAAATTTAGAATAATCCCGTTTTTATAATAAATTAAAATTATAAAAATGAAATTTATATATGCCAAGTACTATCATTTATTCTAAAATAATGTTTTAAAAAATTCTAGAATAANTTTGCTTAGTCGGTATACAAATTTTGGCGTCAATTCACTTATTGGTTACAGCTACAGACTGCTCTGAATATAAAAACTTTAATAATGGCCCCTCTGTATATAAAAAATTTAGAATGATGCTTACCTTCATCAACCAATATTAAAGAATACAAGTCATTACGGCATCAAATAAATTTTCAAACAGTTGAATTAATCCAAATATCACCCAATATGTCAGTATAACTTTTGTATCTCGTAGTGTTCCTCTTTGAATCGCATTCTTCCTGCATTTAAATATTCTGTTACGTGAGAAGCTACGAAATTCGAGAAAGTAAATACTCTACAATTAAAACTTACGAAGCGTAAATGAGATAGACGATCGATGTGAAAGTGCAGACAAATTCAACTGCGGTGTATACAGCTAGTATAATCATTAAAACTAAATAATAATAAAAAGAATAATAGGTTATTAATTCGAAATTAACAAAATTTACGATAAAGAAACGTACATTTGTAGATGAAAAATCTGTTGCAGCCACATTTCTGCTTTAATTTGCCGAGAATTCTTGTGTACTTGGATACTCGGTTGAGCATTTCTACTGAAACGTCCATATTTTTCTATTAATATTTTAAAATATGTCTTGTTAAAGTTCGATTTTTTCCAATCGTGAAAAAATTGTTCTAAGAAGTTAAAATTTAAATTTGAAAAATTCTGGGAAACGCCGTCTACTGAATTAGGACCTATGTTTTTTAAAACTGTGTAAATATATTTAAACTGGCTCAAAATTATAATAATTGATATCATTTTTTAAAATATATATTGAGATAAATATTTATCTTGATATCTTTGATATTTTTATTATGATCTAAGATGAATTTTTTAAAACTCTTTCCTCCTTGTCGGCAATGAGGGCCTAATTTTAGCAAACCAGGTTTACAATGGCGACCCGCTTCTCTCACCGGATAGTGAGAGAAGCGGGTCGACATATACGAATTTCCTCCGGCTCTTCGCGAGTAATTTCGTATGATCGAGCAAAAAGCTTTGGCCGGCTCTTCGGAGGATAAGCGACTACGCAATAACCTCAATATTAACCCCGCTATAAGAGAGAGAACATTCCATAACTGCCAGAAAAATTATGCGACTCGTTGCTAGAATTTTTTGAAATTTTTGAGTTCAGATCTCAAAACATGAGGATTTGCATAAAAACTCGGAGAATCAAATTTGATACTATTCCAATACTTTTTCCTTGTTATTTATAAACATAACAGCCGGAAATGTGAAACAAATCCTACGGGGAAAACGTAAGACATGGATACCGTAACCAAAGTTATAAAAGGGTTCCCACGGTTTATGATTTGCTTAGAAATGACAAAGACACGTTCAAAAAGGAAGAACAATCTGGGCTATACAAGATACCATATAAAAATGATCAATTAGGCTTGAACAAAGAATATATAGTTGTCACCACCAGGAATTTCAGCAAAAGACTAAAAAAGCATATATACGATGTAAATAAAGGACACTATACTACTGCACTATCCAGAGTAGCACAAACCGAGGGTTCGGTTGTTGAATAAGGCTAGGATTGTTAGACCGGTGCGCTCACCGTCTTTAGCAATGACTGTAGAGAAGTTTGAAATATATAGATCCAATCTTACTGGTAAATGTTTAAACCATAAAGATGCCACGAGATTACTATCAATGATCAAAAATAACGCAGTAAAATATAATATGTAACGCGCACTCTGTCGATATAATTTTGTATATTGTGTTGTATATTGTGTTGATATAGTCTATTTGTATTTTATTTTATTCCATGTACTTTAATTAGTTCAATTTAACATATTTATACTATCTGTTACATTTTTTATATATTTGATATTTCAAAGAGATGTTCGAAACAGTTATAAAAAATTTGAATTTTTTTTCCATATAATCGTCGAATCTGGAACCAATACAAAAAACGTTCCAGAGAATTCAAAATACCTGACGATGGCCTGTAGATCAGGTTGAAAACGTTTGTAAAACAATAAAAATTGGTTCTCAGAGACATTAAGGTATGTGTCATAGTATTCGAAGAACCTCCACAAGTACAAAGTTGCGACATTCAAATCGCTAGCGGCCCACCAGTAGCGTACTGGATAAAACTATTAAACATTGGTAGCTGGTCACGAGTTCGTGCCTTGCCAACAAGTTGGTCATGTGAAGTTTACCGGATATTCTTCACGTTAGTAACACCTAAATATGGGCCAGTTTCCCATAAAAGAACTCCCGGGAAGAATTTCCCTTCGGCTGATCGGTTTATCTAATTTCTGGTTCTTTCTTTGATAAAAGGGTTTATGACCCGAAAGTTCTCGGGATAGAAAATTGTAAATTTAACATATATTCTCCGATGAAGTAAATTGTTTTGATACGTTTATTTTGACTGGAATGGTATAATACGTTCGTTTTATAGCGTTATCATTTCCTCCATTGCAAATTCCTAAATAGTGATTAATTCAACTGATCTGATCGTTAACGATAACTAACTAAAAACTATCCTCGACGTTCCAATGAATAAATTAGCGCTTAAATTCGTGAATTGCCAATTAAGCCAAAATTCCAAAAGGAGTTTCTATGCAGAAAACTTCTTTAGATAACTGTAAAAAAAGATTCATCGCCGAAAATTGATTTCTACACCCAGAAATCTAGCTTTTGTACTTACCTGAAAAATTAAAAATTCCTTCACAAAATATTGCAATTGTCACTTTGAAATCGCTGAGCGCTTTTCATAAGCTTTCGCTCTCGACAATAAAAAACGTAAAAACGAATTGCTTGTTTATTGTTAATCCTTGTTTATTGTTTTATTTCTATACTAGCTGTCACCAGTGTTGCCACAATGAAATTTCAAAACGTACTGAAGCGCCTTCAAAAAATGTACTATTTTTTTTCAAAATGTACTACAGTTCTATGAATACTATGTTTACGTGCCTATATATAGGGGAGATCGGGGCAACTTCGGCAAGCGGGGCAAGTTTGTCAAGCGCTTTTTTTAAAAAACAAATTAAAAGGAGACTTTGGTTATAGGTTAGGCAGTTGAGTTTTATTAGTGGCTTGTTGAGTGTAGTGTTTTTATTGTTCTCCAACAAGCGTAGTTGAATTATCAAGCAAATTTTCATTTTCGTTGAATTCCATATAATATTTTTTTTCCATTTATATTGAATTGGCAGGTTTTGTTATAATTCCATGATAACGAAAGTTACTTTTCCTGTTAGAAGGATGTAACTTCAACTT